TGTTTAATTGGAGGTTCAATGTCTTTAAATGCTCAATTTCAACATTAAAAATTACTACTTAACAGATGATGGCCAATGACCTGAAATTATACATTCTGTACAATCCCTATAAAAATAAAATATTTAAGTTAAACGTAATTACGGTTTTTTAACTGTTACATAGAGCAGGGCGTGGTTTTCTACGTGAGGCCGCAAAGCACTGGTTTGGAGCTAACACTGTTACTGTCTGCATTTTAAACTAAAAGAGTTGCTTTAAACTAAAGATGAAATATTTTATTACTGAGGCGTCATAAGGAGGACATTGATATTAAGTTTAAAAAAAAAAGAGGATTCATATATTGGACATTAAATTTTCTAAAATTCACAATTCGAAAAAAAAACAAAAAAAGTTCGGCAAACTCAAGATGAAGGCTAAACTTAACATTTTGAACTTTTAAACATTTCAAATAAACTAGTTTATTCATCCAAATGTTCACAGACTATAAAACAGGAGTTAATCTGTTTAGACACCTGGATCATTTGTTAAGGAGTGACATTGTTTTCTAGAAATGACCAAGCCAACAAATCAGCTTTCCAATTCCAGGCTTAATGAAAAAAAATCTAAAGTTTACTAAAACTCTGACCCATCTGTCCCTGCAAACGTGCAAGGCAAAATAGGATTCAAGTGGCATCTGCAGTTGCTCCCTCTGCATACATACAAGCCAATTGCTGAATCAAGTAGCTCACTTATGGACTCAACATGCTTTCTAATTATCCCACTCTAGATGTAAAAAAGGAAAGCAAAATGTAGTTAATCTCACAGTTAATCCTTAGTTTAAAAATACCTCATGTGTTTGTAGGTTATTGTAACATCTGGTGACGTATAGGTTTCAGAATCACTCACAGTCCACTCTCAGAAAGTCGTTGAGCAGCTGGAAAAGTGGGAAACTGTCCCAGCTGTCAGGTGGCTGAATTTCGAGCGCTGCGTCCATATCGGCTGAGTAAAGACACAGGAAGGTCTCGGCATGCTCCACCATCAGGTCTGACCACCATGCAAAGGCCTTCAAATAAAGGACAGACAGGGGATCCGGACAGCAAAGAAAAAGCAATAAAGAAAACATTACAAGTCAGTGAGTAAAGGGTTTATCTTGCACAGCTTATCTCTAATAATAACTCTTTGTTTAGTATTAAAGTTTAAGTATTGCAAAAAGATTCACAATCAAATGTTGCCCCACTATTCTGCTGTAATGATGATGAATGTTGGCTCGATCTTACACTTATTACCATGTGAAGTGAAGTTGCTAAATTAAAGAATTTGATGTGTGATCTCAAGGGGAGACTTCTTCACAACTTGGGGCACAAACAACAGCTCTTTGGCACAGAAAACGACATGCTTTTCTTAAGGCCCCACTGCAGAAACAGCAGAAGCTTCTCGACAAGCATGGTAGGGAGCTACTTAAACACTCACCCACAGCTCCTTCACTTACTCAGTCAGAAGAAAGGAGCTAGCGAGGTGTGCCGCTCACACAGCTCTCCAGCAGAAAAGATGCGGTGGAGCAAGTGCAAACCCACTACTCTCATGCACATCAAAAATACACTATTCTTCATGCAGTGCTGCTCTTGCTGGGCCTCTGAGGACAGACTTCTGAGGAGCCACAGTTCACATCAAGCTGTTAACACTGTAATGTGAATGTACCGACTGGCTCTTGTACCACTTGCTGTGGGAGAGGATTGGGGCTCATGCACTTGCCTTAGCAGCTCTTAGCAGCAGATATTTGATGTGGGAAAGTCGGGAGGAGGGAAACAATCAGTCATTGCCGTTCATGTAACAAGGTCTAGTATTTGACACCTTGCTCTAACTTGAAATAGTTTGATATGCAGTAGAACGAGATACACAAAAATACAAAGGTGACAAAGAGTAAAAATAACATCTGAAATCACTGTTCAATGACATTTGGAAGATGCTAAATTGTTTTTGTGGAAATGTGGCCTCTAATGTTTCCAGAACCGTCAATCAATAGAAGCTTTGAGCTTTTTATCTAAGTGTGAAAGACACTAAAATAACAATATTAAGGTTCTATCCTTATCTTAATTTATTATTATCCTTATCTTATTTTAACTTATCCTTATCTTATTATTATCCTTATCTTATTTGAACTTATCCTTATCTTATTTTAACTTATCCTTATCTTAT